TAGAGCCTGTTGCTCTTAACCAGTAGACCGTAGTGGCCCTGAGTAGACAATACTGACTTTGAGAAGAGAGGAGGAGATTGGATTCATACCCCATGGCCCTTCACTACCCAAGGGAGTCTCAGCGTGGCTTACAGACTCCTTTCCTTTCCCTTCCCCTCCCCACAACAGACACCCTGTAAGGAAGTGGAGGAAGAAGAGGAGATTGGATTGATACCCCACCCTTCACTACCCGAAGGTATGTCTCAGGGCGGCTGACAAACTCCTTTCCCTTCCCCTCCCCACAACAGACACCCTGTGAGGCAGGTGGGGCAGAGAGAGCTCTTGACAGAAACTGCTCTTTTTGAAGAACAACTCTGGCAGAACTATGGCTTGCCCAAGGTCACCCAGCAGCTGCGAATGGAGGAGTGGGGAATTGAACCCCGTTCTCCCGGATTAGAGTCTGCGCACTTCACCACGACACCAGACTGGCCTTGATGGACCAAGGGTGTGATTCAGGAGAAGGCAGCGCCACAGGTGTTTGGGGAGGGGCTGTGGCTCACTGGTAGAGCATCTGCTTGGCCTGTGGAAGGACCCATGTTGAGTCGCTGGCACTGAACTGGATCTGGCAGGAGGTGGTGTGAAGGACCACAGCCTGGGGCCCTGAGGCGCCACGGCCAGTCCGAGTAGACAATCCCGACTTTGGTGGACCAAGAGTTCTGATTCAGTACAAGGCAGCTTCATGTGTTTGTTGGTTTCTCAAAAACGTCTGATGAGCCACTGTAGAAGACGGAAGGCTGAATTAGATGTGTGCCAAGATCATGGTTTGTCTAGGGCTCAAAAAACCTTGGCCCACCCCTGGTGGGTCAAAGAGGAGGAGGAGATTAGATTTTTACCCCACCCTTCACTCAGGGTCGCAGAGCAGTTTACCATCTCCTTTCCCACGACAGTCACCCTGTGAGGTCGGTGGTGCTGAGAGAGCTCTTTCGAGGACTGCTCTTGGGAGAACTTGAGACTGACTCTGGGGGAAGGGTTTCTGGGGAGGGGGGTCCTACTGTAAGAAGAGCAAGGCAGGGATGCCCCATTTGGCGAGTGCCTCTTTGCTGATGGACCGCAGGTGCCAACCCCCCCTCCCCCAAGAAGCACCCGTCAGATGTCCAACATCGAAATTTAGGAGGTGTGCAAACATTTGCTTATTATCCTGGCACTTGGAGCACGGGCCAAATTTGCAAAGGAGAATTTTGGGAAGTGTAGTGTTTCAAGTCCTGACAAGTCCAGACATGTCCAGGGACAACCGAAGAGCTTCGCTCCAAGAGACAATGGACTATGCGGAACCTAGCCCGCTCCAACAGAGATGCTTGACGGGGAAGCCAATGGGACTCTCGGCCACTGTAAATAACCTATAGGGAAGTGGGGGTGTGTGTTTTGGGTGGCGGTTTCTTGGGGAATATAAGCCAGCCTGCGAGCTGGCCAAAGTTGTCTTGTTCCGGATAAAGTACACTTTGTTGAAATCACTCTCCGTCTGCGTACTTTTCAGGAAGCAAGTTCCCTTTTGTCGGACAAAGCTAACTCTTGCTCTTTCGTAGATCCCAAAGACTCAAAGTCACTCGATCCATGTTTGTACGTTGCTTGCATTCCATTCCGACTATGCTTAATCTAAAGTGGGTCTCCCTGACTTTGATGGAAATTACTTCTAAGTCAGCCTGATGGCCCCGGGTACCATGATGTCACCTCGGAAGTGAAGCAGGGGGGCCCCCCCCCCCCGGGCTAGTACTTGGACAGGAGGCCTCCAAGGGACACCAGGGCTGGGACGTGGAAGCCCCCGGTGAGACCTGCTATTTCTGGCCCCTGTGTGACACGGAGTGTGTTGGGCCGGATGGGCCATCGGCCTGATCCAGCATCGGCTTCTCTCTGATGTTCTTAAGCAGGCGAAGGGAAGCCACCTCTGAACGTCCCTGGCCTTGGAAACCCCCTGGGGCGGCCAGACGTTAGCTGTGACCTGACAGCACTTTCTGTCACCACCACTTCCAGGTCAGCGTGCCCCAGGCCCTTGCTTGGGCATCGGCCCCAGGAGGCAGGTGGTGCTGTTTTTGTTGGGTGATAGTGAGATATTGAAAAAATGGTATTTAGCAGAGATAAGATAGCCCAGCAAAGCCAGAGTAAAATAATTCAGACTGAGAGTCCATGTGTGATTAAAATATAAAGTTTTTACTAAATTCTAGCATGGGAAAGGGTTACTGGGATGAAAATAACAACAGAGCATAATCGGCTACATCCTTACACTACAAAGACAAAACTAGAGAGAGATTATCGCTACTCCCACTTCTTCTTGAGAACAGCAAACAAAGACGGAAAGAGGAGCCATAAAATGCTAAAACACTTTGACACTTTAGTCCCAATCAAACTCCTAGATCAGGGAGAAAATTCCCGGGCTTCTTACAGCTAAAGAACATTGGTTACATGAGAAACATGTGACTTCCTGTGAGTAACAGAAACAAACATTTAACTCCAGATATATTGAGTGTTTTCAACTTGTAATACCCAAGTTTTTTATTTTGCAGATCTGCAGGAGACAAACCACGCCCCGTGCCTGAGCCCCTGGGTTTCCCCTCGGCCAGCTCTGCTCTTCTGCCCGCTCTCAGCCTCCAAAAGGTCTCCTGCTTCCTTAAATGACCCCTGCCCCTCCTTTGCTGCCCCCTACACCCACAGAGCCACACCACCCGCCTTCACACCTATCTTAAACACAGTCCCCCACACACACGTCTTCTGCATAACCCTGGGTGAGTCCTGCTCTCCCTCATTCGCAAGGTTCAGAAGGTGTAACAGAGGATCCGTCCACCTGCTTCCTGCCCTCTCACCTTCACTTTGCTGGATTCCCCGTCTGCCCCTGGGGAACCGCCTGTGTTGCCAGCAGACCTCTGCCAGCCCCCCCCCTGCACGGAGGGTGCAGCATCAGTCCTATGCACAAGCCGACTGGGGGGCCAGTTGGGCGTCCTTTGCCGCATGGAGGTGGTCTGGGCCGTCCAGATGGGCGTATCTTTGTCTGTCAGCTTGTCACCTACTAAAGGGCCAATGGGATGGATCCCGTGGCCTATTCGGGACAGCGCAGAGGTACTTCCACAAGCCACAGAAGAGCCCTGCTGGATCTGGCCAGGGAGGGTCCCTCTAGTCCAGCCTCCTGTCTCACAGAGTGGGGCCAAGCGGTTCCTCTGGAGGGCCAGCAACAGGTGGGACCCAGAGGATGAGTGCCTCTGAATGTGGAGGTTCCCCCCAGCCAGTGACAGACCTCTCCCCCAAGACTGTGTCTCACCCCCCCCCCTCTAAGTTCTAGTCCAGCCTCCTGTCTCACAGAGTGGGGCCAAGCGGTTCCTCTGGAGGGCCAGCAACAGGTGGGACCCAGAGGATGAGTGCCTCTGAATGTGGAGGTTCCCCCCAGCCAGTGACAGACCTCTCCCCCAAGACTGTGT